GTGAGCTTTTTTCCAAAGCTCCTTCAATATGTTTTTCACTGGGATCTGTGAAAGGTATTTAGAAAGGTAAATGCCAAAGGTATTTGGACATCTTTAGCATTTATGGCTCGTAAACCTAAGGCTGCTACTAGAGCAGTGATGGCAAACCTTTTAGAGACCGAGTGCCAAAATTGCAACCCAAAACCCACTTATTTATCGCAAAGTGACAACACGAAAACCTGAAAACAAAGGTTTTAGAGAAAACAACTCACAGCCACTCCAAGCAAATATATGTATATATCCTTGGCAGCGCACTGACTGGCCATGTAAAAGCTTGGATGAGTCCCGACTGAGTTGCGGCACGTGATGTCATCACCTGGCACCACTACTCCTTTCAGAGCATGCACATGGCCCCCGTGTGCGCTGCTATCCGATGCTCGGCTACTGGAGCGGTGCTCGGGCAACTTGGCTTGCATGCCGACAGAGAGGACTCCCTGTGCCCACTGTGGCACGCATGCCATATGTTCACCACCACAGGCCTAGACCTACCCTGGTGCACTCCCCTAACCCTATTATAGGGCTAAAGTTCCATTGAAAAGAGGGTGATTCTGAAAAAGCCTTCCTTGGGTAGCTTTTTCTGCACAGCTCGTCATTTCTGCCCATTCTAAACACATTCCAACCATCAAAATCATGCCCGGACACCTCGCTTTTCTAACCCTAACCCAACCCTGGTGCACACCTGTAACCCTAATATAGGGCTACATATTCATTGAAAATAATACAATTTTGAAAAAGCATTCCTGGGTGACTTTTTCCACATAGCTCATCTTTTCTGCCCATTCTAAACACATTCGAACCATCAAAATCATGCCTGGACACCTCGCTTTTCTAACCCTAATCCTACCCTTGTGCACACCCCAACTCTAATATAGGGCTGAAGTGCCGTTGAAAAGAGGGTGATTCTGAAAAAGACTTCCTTGGGTAGCTTTATCTGCACAGCTCATTTCTGCATGGTTCTAAACAGTTCTGCCCATTTAACTAATCTTTCAAAAGAAGGAAAAGGTATCTCATGGTTGGCTGGTTTTAGGCTCTGAAAATAATACTGCATTTGTGAAAGACTGCTTGGTTGCTTCCTGACAGGGAGGCCATAGACTTAGAAAGGATAAACTTTGTAGTTAAATTTTCATATATTGAAAAGTTTCAGTACATCCCCAGGTTCTTACCATTCACCCTGACTCTGTGGTATTTCCTTTTTGTGACATGGGACATTCTAAGTCAAAAGGTTACTCGGGAAAGTTCCTCTTTGTCTTCCCCTAACCCTGAGATGAGGATCAGGAGAACCAAGGGCTAATTCTGCCAAAGCTATGGGCAATTTAGTTTCATTAGAAGTCTTAGGCAAGTGTTTGGCCTTACGTGCTCCCCCTTTCCCCCTTTGGCTGGAAAGCAGCAGCAGAAGAGAAGGAACTGGTGGAAAAATTTCTTGCTCTGTATTTTTATGTCCCCTTACTGATTAGGGGACTGAGCCAATTCCATTATAACGGTCTGTTTTCAGTTTTAAACAAGGACTGATCCTGACAATGGGGAAGTTGCTATTTACCTGAATTCCCTGTGGTGGAGGAAGGAGTACCTGGGGTTTACTATACCTCCATTTTATCAGTTAAAAAATGCAGCCTACACAATCCTGGAGAACTGAAACCAATCATTAGTGGGAAGAAGCTGGGCAGTCACAGCCACCTCCTGCTCTGAGGGCCCACAGAAACTTGGCCAGATGGTTGGGTCAACATCCTCCAAGGCAGGAACCATGAAGAGGGTGCAGTTCCGCACACTGTATCTCACATTATCTAGTTGCTTGAGGGCTCCACTTTGATCCAGCTGTCTGCTGAGCTATAGGATAATCAGCAGTTGCTATGGCAACATGAGGGCACATGCCAAAGGAGAAGGCTCAAGGCAAACTCTTCGCAATTGCCTGTAGCAGGGAGTTCTGTGGTGCTATGACCCTGATGGGCCTTAATAGCTGGTTTTCTAGCTCTTCCCAAGACATGTGCTCTTTTAATACGCAGTGCCATCTTGTGGTGAAAAAGCAGGATGACTTAGGGAAATGTCCACTTTTTTTTTTTTTAAAGAGAAAGGACAATGCTGTGGAAGAGGAACATTTTGCAAAGTATGAGCACATCAAGGACTGAAAACAAAAACAAGCTCTGGGAAAAGAGATTGTTAAGGAGAGATTAAAATAAGTTGTGCCCAGGGTAAAGGCAAGAAACAAACTGGGAGATGCCATGGAGACCAGGACCAAGGGAAAAAGCCCTGAAGGAGATAAATCCCATGTTGGGCGTCTTCATTGCACCAGGTAGAAATATTTATTAAATGTTCATATACCCTGACTTATTACAGGGATATGCCAAAGTTTTCACAGAGAAGAGCAAAAGGAAAGACAGCAGCCCATTTGCACTATCTAGATATAGCAATTAGCCGTAAGTTGACAGCACTGCACCATAGCCTGTTACATTACCTGCCTCCTTTCAATCATAACTGCCTTTCCCAAGATGAAACAAAGAGCAAATGGAGCCTCAGCTATGGAATGTACTTTCGTCAGATTTGGGGTTCTGTTTCTGAATTACAGCCAGAGTAGCAGCTGAGCTGGCTCTACTCAGAGCAGAATCAATGTAAGGCAAAGTGCCAGGAGTAGAAGGCATTTTGAAGCAGTCTGGTGACCTCTGAATGTTTTGGACAGCTTACTGCATTTCTGCAAGTTAGCCATGCTGATCTGGGCTGATAGAAGTTGGGGTACAAATATCTGAAGGACATCAGGTTGTGGAAGGCATATTTACAGCACTATAGCTATTTAATTCAACTAATTCCCTCTAACGAAATAGTTAGGGAGCATAGCAGGAACACTTTTTGAAGTAGGGATGCCAAATTTGTGTGCTCTGAACATGTGCATAATAAAGCAAGTGAAGCTTTTCTCCAACAGGAAGCAGGCAGAGAAAAGCCCAAGTCCTGGATTTCTGCTTGTCCCACTGCTATTCAAAGCACAGGCACTTGTTCCAGGAGGAGAAAAGGGAACTAGAACCCCTTAGTCTAATTTTAAGCTATTGATGTAGCCAAGGGCCATATTCCTGCCATTCTCAGTAATGAGGATTGTTCAAGGTCTTTCACAGGAAATTTAAGAGTTTGCAAGTCTCGGTGTTTTGTTCCCATACATTATTTACCACCCCCAATTAGAAAAGAGGCAGTCATGAAATAAATGCTTTTAAGTTCTTCAATAATTTAAACAGCTTGCTCATCTTTTGCCTACTTTCCTGAAAGATACTGCCAGCATTAAAAAATATCCTGTTTCTATGGTTACAAAGACCTCTTCCTAGCTAGAAGAAATTATAATCAATAAAACATACCAGATACCATTTGCAGCAGGGCACTTTGGCTAACCATCTGTCCTAAGAAGCCAATTCTACTAAGCTCCTCCCTCCATCAGCTGCTACCTTGCAGGGGCCATTTTATCCAGCTGCAACAGCAGTAGAAATATCCATTGCATCCATTTTCCTAAGGTACCACCAACTTTATCTCCTCTTGATTGTTTTTATTCCAGCTGCTCCTAACTTTGTAATTGGTAGTGCCCAAGATTGCTTTCCTCCTCTTCTTCCCCCTCAAATTCACTTGCCTTGGGAAAATTTGCTGCAAGGATACGTGTTAATTTAAAAATCCCTAAAAGCTCTCCTACAGCCATTTCTACAGTATAAAAACAATGTACATTCTGAGAAGCATATCTTCATGAGGAAGTTACAAAGTTTTCAAAAACTCAACCTGGCATTCATTGCAGCAACCCTCCCTATTCTCCTGTTCAAATGGCTTAGTAAAAAAATTCTAGTATAATTACTGCATGCTCTAGTGTTCAAGATTTTTAACTTAATTGCTGCTGGCTAAACAAGTCAAATCTATGAATGGGATGGAAGTCTTAGTAGTTACCTTTATTTAGAAATAATGTCTATTTGCACTTACTTGGATCAATTGTAAGTATGATAGGAGAAATGCAACTTAATATAGTGTACAGATTAAGAAGCACACATCAACACTTCAACTTTCAGAGGGTAAAGCTGTTTCTTGTTGCAGATGCTGGCATTCCTGAGTTGAGAATCTGAACACCAGTGCTAGCAAAGTGAATTAGAATTGCTTGTTCTGTAGCACTCTTCTACATCTGAAGATATATTAGTGTACACTTCAGGCTTCCCAAAAGTTATTACTTCTAAGTCTTGGGCTGAGTTTTTAATTACTGCACAAATCAAAGAAATTAAGTCAATGCAATAAAAATGTAGGACTCTTAAATGCCAGGATTATAATACTTCACCCCCAAACATGGTTACAGACTGGTTCGCACATGTTCTGGATATGTACTTTACATGATTTGGGATCTTGTTGCAGGCTTACATCCCTGAATACAGTGTGCACAGATCATTTTCTAGGAAAGGCCTGTGCATATATATTCATATTTTTAGTGTATAATTTTTGTATGATTTTGTATGTTTTTTTGTTGTGAGCCGCCCCAAGGCTTTGCTGCGATGAGGGCAGCATAGAAATGTTTTACATAATAAATAAAATATTATCATGCAATGCTCATGCCACCTGTTTACCATGTATATTTGGCATGTATTCATCTATAAATATATACACATTAACCTTCATCCTACTCGTTAAGTGTACATAGTGAACTACTTCCTAGAGAGGCTGTGAGCTCTCCCACATGAGACATTCAAAAAAAGAAACTGGACAGGAATCTGAGTGTGCTCATGTAAACTGGGTGTCCTGAAACACCAGGGGGATGGACCTGATGGCCTTCATGACCCCTTCAAACTCTACTGTTCTATGAACTGGTCCTTAATGGGCACAATACATGTTGACTGATGAAGGGGCCCTTCTAGAACTCATGTTTATCAAAATATTGCTCACACTGAATGCAGCTAAGTGAAATCTATGTAGACATGCTGCTACAAAATGATGCTACATTAAAATGTTACACATGTCTCAAGGAAGTTCACTAAAGTTGAAAGTTTTTATTTAAAACACAAAAACATTTACAGCATGCAGGTAGTTAACTATGTGGCATCTTCTCCAAGCCATTCATTCTTCAATGCATCCTCATGCATTGAGAATAAACTACTGTGTTCACAGACCAAGTTTTGTCCTTTTATGACTAAATTAGAGTTAATTTTTGATCAGTACTAGTATGCCAATAATTTAATTGAACTTCTTTCATGTCACTCAATTCCTAGCCTAAACAATTTCTTAAAAAATGACGTGGATGAATAAAAGACTCAAAGACCACAAATGCAAACAGCAATGCATTTAGAATTCTGTTGCAAATTTACAAAACCAGAAGTTGTCCTGTCCATGTAACCTAGCATAGGTGATCCAGTAACCTAAATAGAGTCCTTTCTACCGTCTAAGTTGCGGTTCTTTGTAAACGTCATAATATGTTAAAATAAAATAAAAACTTGGGTATAAAAAGGATGTACATTTTGAGCTACATGCTAGTTACAGTTTATTTAACCGCTTAATTACACAGCCATGTCAGCACCAAAACCCGTGATACATTACTTACAGGAAACTACCATAAACAGCCATGAGAAAATATCCTGCTTCATTTGAGCATATTGCCAGGAAACCAGAGTTTAACTGTGTAAACTGAATCGGGACTGAAACAAAATGGTTACTGCTGAGAAATTGACATAGCCCATTACAACCAAGAACAGATACAAATATTTTTAAATATTCTTTTCTCTTTGTAAAAGTCCCTCTTAAGTACAGAATCATTCATCTGAAGTTTGGAGTGTTTAATTCAAGCACAAAAAGAACAAATCGCTGTTATGACAATTCCAAACTAGCAAGGGTCTGGCTGATAAAAAATACAGCCTCTAAAAGCTAGAATAAAAAAAAGACAAAAATCAGAAGTTAAGGAATAGAAAAAAGACTACTTTTTCTATTACTAAGCTCCATCATAATACAAATACTTCCATTTGTAAAAAAGTTAAAGTTCTACAGAAAACCTCCACCCCACCCCCAAGTGCCTGTGAATGTATTGTAGTAAGATACAGAACTGGCATTAATTTACTATGGAAAAGCAGCTCTTCAGAACATCTCCACTGTTGCAAAATTTCTTCTTTTGTCTCCTACTGTATTGAGAAAGCCTTGTTAACCTTTAGAACATACCAAGCAGAAACCCTCTGTCAAAGATATTATTTGAACTTCCATAGCCTGTAGATACAAGTGCTTTTTTGTAGGACAAAACTCACAAGATTTAAAAACCAAAAATGAAGGGCAGTTAAGATGCCTGAATAGTATCTCATGTTACACGTGTTTACAGACCTCCAAATTTACAAGTAAGTTACAGTACAGTTTTGGTGTAGCACAATGTTCGTATCCATCTGACCTTTCTGGCTACATTAAACCCCCACTTTGTCTTCTTTATTCATTCACTTGTTTTATTTACTCAATTAGTTTACCTTAAACTTTTAGGTTAAATGTGTAGTATAACAAAGAATGCTACAAGGTCCCGATTTCTCACTACAACAGTTAACCAAATTGATATAGTTCTGGTGACCACTTACAGGCTCCTCAAGATGAAGCAGAATGTTTTCAGCTCATCATGCCATTCTGTGTATAATCAGAAACAGGACAGATGAAAGTCATTGCCAAGTCTTTCCATGTAAACTTACATTTACTACTTGCTATACAGTATTAACTCATTAACCTGGTAACAGATTGATTTAATCAAACAGTTAAATAGCCTTGCCAAAACATACATGTTTAGTTCCATGTTTGAGACTTCAGTGCCTGAAGAGAGTCATAAGCACAACTCAGTAATTGCATACTGTACAAATAATTTTAGTCTTATACTCTATACAGCCATGTAGGCAAACTTAATGTACAGTGCTGCTCTAATTCAAGAGTGGGTCAAGTAGTGTTATTAAAAGTGGTAAAATTAAAACTTACTTCAACATTGTTCCACATTCCCTAAGACCATTAAATATACATAAATTAAGCTAGGAAATTTTAACTAAGGTGTTGCTTAACATACATTCAACTTGGCACAGTGCAGACTAAATTTAAGACGTGAAAGACAGATCATGTAATGAGAGCTACATTTGAAATTACACGTCAATTTTCCAAGAAGAACAAGATCTTTCCTAGTTTTGTTGGGAATCAATTAGCCAAATTAGTCAGAATAAGGAGAGCTGTACAGACCAGTATAATTTATACAGTTTTCAAAAAATAATCCTACAGTCCCCAGGGAAAGACAGAAATCACTGCCACGGAATGACTCTCATTGCGCGATATCCAATCCTCTTCATGCTGCATGTACCTTTCAGCATCTAGAAACAGCCAAAGAAACTTATGCATAGACAGAAAAAAACCTTTAACATTCTTTACAATAACAAATTTTAACATTTACACTATTTACAGTCTAAGTTTGCCCTATGATTTCAGCAGAGATCATATCAGAGCTAGTACCAAAGCAATTATACAATGATACTGCTATTATTCCACACTAAGCACTGACTTGTATAGAAATCTCTCTCTCTCTCTCTCTCTCTCACACACACACAGATTCTGTCTGTCTCTCTACAGCATGTACACAAACTTGCTTGCATCTCAGTTTCTATAAAAGCTGTCAATTGAAAGCCTTAATCTTATGCTTAATGTTGCTTCTACGTGGTCCAAATAACAAGTTTAATCCTGTCAGATCAGTCACTGTATTGATGCTATGATAAGCTATAGCCACCACACAGAAAAGGTCAACCCAAGAAATCTACTCTAAATCTGTTTAGTCCTGAATGAATTAAAATTTAACTTAGTCCATTTGTTTAAATGTTGATGTTCCCCTTCTGTGTATTTGAGTAAATATTCAAATAAGGAGTCATGTTCTGTATTTTCCTAGTAAATACCAAAATCATAAGCTAAAGACAGCAAGCTTAACAGAATAAGTAAGTAAAGAACCAACCTTGATAGTGTAAATCTATGCTTTCTCCTGCCGTGATCCACCTCCACGAAGGGCAACCGGCTGGCTGTTCTGAGTAAAAGCACCTCCCCCACGAATTGCACTTGGATGAGTTGGAGAAGCTGCTGGATGTTGACCGGGACGAATAGGCTTAGCTGAATAAACACAATCATGAAAGGTGAATCAAGGCCATGTGGAGTATTAGGATTTATACTTAAAATCACACTTAATATGGGAGTAATAATAGACCTTAAGATCTAGGGAAGTACTGTGATGTATTTTTACTGAATAGGGTTACTATTCACTATTACAAACCCTTTAGCTGTTCTGTTTTAATTATCTGTGCAGGGTTGGGATTTAACAGCTAACCTGCCTATTCCTGCGGAAATAACATGAAAAAGGAACAGCACAGCTGAAATGTTTGTAGAAGTGACTCATCATACACATGTTCAAATTACTCATAGCCCTGTAGTACTTTAGACTATAACGGAAGAAGTTTTGTGGACTACAGTTACTTCACAGGACAAAAACCTTATCACATAATGAATGCTAATTTTTAACATGCCACAGCACTATTAGTTGTTCTTACTGTTAATGGTGTGTTTATGACTTTATATCATTGTATGCTTCTGTGCAAGAAAATTTCTAAAATAAAGGGATACATTTATTCTTTAAAACTTTGATAATCAAAGCCAAACTACTATGAAATTCAAGCACTCTGTAGCACTCAAGTCATTGTTTTAACATAAAATCACAAATACAACATCAAAACAAACCCCGATTCTCTGCCAAGATACCTATTGCCTAATTTTATGACAATTCAAACTACTAATTTCATGGTTGTGCATTCCTATAATGAACTCAAATCTGCTCCAGCTGGACTGTCGCCTTCTTTTAATAAGGGCACCAAACACTGATTGTTCTGTGAGAAGAATCCTGAGAACTTGTTTTGCTATGGTTTCATTGTGATTTTATTAATGACTTTGATTTTATTTCCAGGTTAGGAATTGTGTTCTGAAACAAGGTATATTGGTACAAAAAGGTAAGAAGTGTTAGAGGCAGAATTATTCCTCTGGCAAATGAAGATCACCTTTTGGCACAGGGAACAGGGATCCAGGGGAGCCTCCCCATCAAGGGAAGCGGCTGGAGTGGCAATTCTACAGCCTTTTTACTACTTCCTCACACTGTTCTGGAAGAAGCCCCACCCCAACCTTGCAGAGCAGATTGTCAGGGGCATATTAAACTCCTCCAGGAGAGGTAAGATTCACAAAAATCACCTCCATATATAGCATCAACATTTCTTGCACAGTAAATCTTACAAAATGTTTCACTGTTAAATGTGTATGTGTTGCTAAATAATCTAAATCCATAAACTGCACTGTTTCAGTAACGAATGCCCTAATAAAGACAGCAATCGGGCATTCTCCATTGTGCCTGGTTACAGATACATCTAAACACTCTGCTTCCTCTAAGCAGCTACTGAGATCAGACAAAGAAATGGCAAGCAGCTCTTCCCTTGTGCTTAGACTGAGCTCCATGACCTGCTAAATTACTACTGCTGAGTTTTATAACTACAGATTTAGTACTCAAGTTTGTTTTTTTTCCTTCTCCCTCCCAACTCCTCCTCCTTATACACTGTGCCTTTTATATGGTAAAGTTGCAGCCTTATTTCTAAATTTTGATAAGTCTCTCTGGAGGATAAGTGGAATAAAATGCTTTAAATGTACAAAATACAGAACGTACTACTGCAGACAACAGAAAGCATTCTGCAACCATTTTTAACTTGCCCATCCAATTTTTTTCAAGACAACTTCAAGTTCTCAATTGACTTTCACGTTATGAATTTATGGACATGCTATCCATCTCCCACCATTTTGAAAACCAGGTACACCAACCTAGTGATCAAGAAATGGACAACAAGAAGCAAATATATACCACATCGGCAGTTACTAATGCTTCACTTGCTCTACTAACCAATCTGTGCAGAATGTGCCTTTCTGATCATATTCTTTGATCTCACAGCCTCCTTAATACGATCTACTTCTTGCTGATATCGCCTGCGATCACGGGACGCATTCTCTTTGGCTTCTTTCAATGCTGATTCCAAAGCTTTAACTCTCTCTGCTGTGGCTCTAAGCCGCTTTTCCAGTTTTGGAAGTTCACAGCGAAGATCCGCATTGTCACGTACCAGCTGGAAAAATATACCAATATATATATATAAATATATGTCTTTCATTTCACAAAGAAATCTTATTCATATCTTGTGTCTATTCAGTATAACCTTGCCTAACTGTAATATCCATATTTTGGAAGATAACTATGGCATACAATAAGAAAATTTCCAGTCACTGCTATCATGTTGTGTTCATAATCAGAATACAATGCATAGCCACAGTTGGACAGGGAGGCCTGTGGGCTGTCTACTCTTCCTCTGGAGCAGCAGTGGCAAGGTCTGTGACACATGCAGTATGGTAGCAGCACAAGCCCTGGCATCTGCTGAAGAACTAACGTAGCAGGGAGGTTCCTCTTCAGCTCAGCAGCTGCCCTGGGGATTCCTCCTTGCCACCAGATCTTCAACCTAGTTCCATGGTTTGCTCTTCTCTGCTGAGTTCCTTTAACTCTCCAACTCTTCTGTCATCGCTGCTGCCTTCTTTTTTGTTTGGATTGCTCTCATAGTGCACAGGAAAGCCTCCAAAGTCTTCTCCCACAACAAGGCGGGAGGAATACCTGGAGTATTGCAGGGCCCTGCCTCCTCTAGGAAGTTCAGTTTGAGCCTGCTTTCCCCGCCCTAAAAATGAGGCTTTCCCAGAGCTAGTTGTATTTGTGGGAGAATTTGAGAAAGATTTATGTTTTCATCTAAATTACAGATAAACCCACCTTACCCACTCTCAGGACCTGAAAAATAAATTATGAAAACTCTGAACAGCATTTTTCATGAGCACAGATTCAAAGCTAAGTTCATGGTCTTCTTCAGTGGCCACTGCCTGAAGCACAGTGGAAATAAACTTTCCTTAAAATGAGTATTAAAGTTTTCCATATCATGATAATCCTTGAATTTAAAATGTACACATACACACACACGCGTGCAGAATCGAGTTGCCACAACATTCTTTTGTCATTCACTATTTGTTCTGTTCTGTATCCATGAGAGCAACTGTAATAGGGCAGTGACACATTTTATCAAATAAATAAAGTTTAAGTTTTACCTATTAATACTTCAACTAAAAAACTGACTCTTATTTCAGAATTTCTTATAGCAATTCAGGGAGACAAACTCATAAATCAAAGAACTAAGCTTTGATAAAAGTGATAGTCAAAAAGCTTTTAGTCATGGAAACAGCAGAGATGCAAGAATATTGCATGTTACCTGTTTGTGGACTTTTGTGAGTTGTTCAAGATTATTCTCAAGAAAAGAAATCTTCTGCTTTTGAGCAGCACTGCCACCAGTGTCATCGGAGTCAATTTCTGCACTCTGTGGTAAGATGATATGAACCTAAGTTTAGATTCCTAAGGTATGAAAATCATGGCTGTGAAATAAAGAACTGTATTTATTATTACCTTCTTAACTCTGGTGGCCAAATCTTGAACAAACAGTTTTCGAAGATTGTGCAGGGTTTGAAGTTCTTTGGCCTAACAACAGAAAAAAATGATTTAACAAGTATTCTTAACTGAGAAATACAGTAACAAGAAAGATGCTTTTTGGATAGATAACTTACCACAGTTTCTTCTAAACCTTTCAAATCTTGTCTTGCTTGTTCTCTTCTATCTTGCATAACCCTTAAGTTAATAAGAGTGACAAAAAATTAAAAGTTTTCTCAACTACTTTTCTTCCAGTCTCTCACCCAATTTAAATCAAGTAGCTTAGAATAATGTAAAACTTAAAAAGTGAAAGTATGATGCACATTCTTAGTGCAGCTGTTACCACACTGAAAATCAGTACAATTAAAGTTGATGGAATAAAGTAGTCCTTGCCCACATTCTAAAGCTCAAAGTATTGGGCTGAAGCCAGCCTCCTGGGAGAAAATTTCCTAATACTTTTGAGGTCACAACCAAGAGAGTGTTACGGTAACCCAAGGTATTCAGAATATGATGTAAGAATGCACAAAAGGTCAGGCAATAAACACTACAACAGCACATCTGGAAATTGCTTGTAAAGTAATTTGTCAAAAATAGAAGAGTAAATTTTAAAAGACCAAAAACCCTGCCAGCACATAGGGAAAAGCCAGGCGATGTGTTGGTACCACTCATCACCAGCCAGCCTCCTCCATCTCATAGCAATGTGCTGGGCAGGTGGGAAGGAAGGATGTTTCATATTTTTATAGAACATGAATAAAAATAATGCATCTAATTTAGTGGCAGGGCAAAGCATTCTAACAGGATGCACCTGAACAGACATGCAGGGCTATTATTTGAGGGGTAGCTACAAGGGAAGATAAAGGGACTCTTGAACATTATTTGGTGAAAAATGACTGTATATAAACATTACACTAGTAGAGAACAAATATCTGATGTCCTTCCTTTGTGATTTCCTTTGATTTTATGACTTAAAACATTGAAGAATTCAGAGAGTATTACACCTACACCTTTATTTACACATAATAGGGTAAGTTATAAAACGAAACTGAAGACTGTAAATTGAGAATGTTATGAACCCATACTGTAAGCTATCAAGTAACTTGGATAAGATTCTTCTAGTCAGAAATGTTTTCAAGAAAACTGAAATAACATTTTAAGTAGTGTGCTTTGAACCTCCAAGTATGTCAGTATTTTTAACATAACTCATTCTTTCCTGTCTAGTCCCTCATTGCAATATTTTTCAAAATCCAATTCAGTCTCTAACAGTTCTTGGGCTTTTTAAAGCAGCACACATGATCACATTAATTTGGAAACACTTATTATAACACAAGAAGTTATTCTGTTACCCACATGTAGATATTATAGGATAGATTAAGTGTGTGAATTCATTGCTTAAAACATTAACTCAGAATGAACACTGTTTCCACATATCGCTGATATGCCCCGACAGATTATTTCTATTTTTGCTGCTGCTTATGATTATTACAGTGAGGAACCAAGAAAGCTTAGGAAGCTCTATTTTAGCCTCACAACAACTCTGTGAAGTAGGCTAGTCTGAGAGTAAATAACTGGCCTAAAGTCACCCAGTAAGTTTCATGGCCAAGTGGGGGCTAGAACTCAGATCTCACAGGTCTCCGGGACAACACTCCAACCACCCCAGGACAGTGGCACTACTTCGTTTTAACTTACGTAAGTTCATGCAGTTTTCTGCTTTTCTCTTGATCTGTAGCTTTCAGCTTATCATGCTCAATTCTCAGTCGTTCCTGCTCAAGCATCATCTTCTGATTTTGACTGAACATTAAATAAAAAAGATAAAGCAAAAAACTTCCACAAAAACCAACACTTCCCCATCTTGTGATACATGGCACTAGTCACTGAAATAGGCCTGTTGAGCTGGCTCCTTTTATGCCAATAACCAAGATCAGAATCTGCACACTACATAGAATTATTAAAAATATAAATGTTAGACTGAACTATATAACTTTAGAATTGATTATCAATCTAGACTTGAACTGGAAGGGCAGTCAAATTCAGCAAGACTCAAAAATAAACTCCTATATAGAATAAGTCAATTTTGAACTGAGTGCCTCCATTTTATTTCAGTGATAACAACATTAAGCTCTATTTCATTAGGAAAAAATGTTTCAAAGTAAGTCTTAAATCCTGGTGAACAGATACAGAAAGAATATCTGTGTGAGATCTGTCCTGCACTGCACCTGTGTGAATACAGATAGGATTTTACTACCTGCTACAAAAAGACTGAAGAGTTTAAGCATATAAAAGTAAAACACTTATTTAAGGAAAGATTTAGAAGGCAAGCTTATACATTTCTATTCAGGCAGAAGCACTATTGATTTTAGTGCGACTTAAGTCCAGGTAAGTGATTACAGGATTCAAGCCTTAAGTTTATAATGCTATTCCCAACCCTCCCATAATTTGCAAAACTTACTCTTGCAGATCAGTAATTAGTTTTTCCTTTGCTTCAACCTCATCTCTCAGGCTGCTAATCTGCTTCTGATGAGTCTCTCGGTGACTCTGAATCTGCTGCTCAACAGCTTGCTAAACAACAACAACAACAACAAATCTTATTATTTTACATCATTACAGAAATTACATTTTTAAACAGCTGATTTTAAGTAATTAGAACACACTAAAAATGTATTTACCTTCACTTCATTTGCAGTCTGAACCTTGTTTAAATGCTCCTTCTCCATTTCATGAACTTTTTCTAATGGGGAAAAAAGCTTTTAGCTAAAGGATCATACATGTTTTTGTGAACTCACAACTGCAATTGCTGAAAGATCATAGCATGCCATTCCAACAAATATGCCCCTTAGAAAAATAGTATAAAAATCCTACAAGATCACACCAGAATCTCATCTTGAGGATACTGTTTCCAACTATGACTACCAGATACACCCTTGTGGGTTTTGCAGAGGTAAGTCTATGTGTATATAAAGAGTGGGGTTTGCACAATATGTTAATACCCCTGGGAATTTTAACTATGCATTGTGGTTAAAATTTCTCTGTGCCTGACAGATATGAAGCACAACAAGACTTGTATGTTCTCTCCACCCAGTCTTTCTGCAGTATCCCAGAAGACACTGCAGAAGCCCTGAGATGTCCTCTGGTCCATGACAAGCATTGGCCACAGCTTGAATTTTTGAAAAAACTTGTGTTATCCACAGAGCAAAAATTAGGGCAGCCCAGGGCCACCTGAGCACTTCCCAAAGCTTCCAGAAGATTCTGCTGCAAATAGTGCTTTAAAAGAAAATCTGAAAAAATAGGAACAATGAGCTACAAAGTTGCAAAATACCACTGACACTTGCCTATACCAACACAGGAAACACAAACTCCAACTTTGTAACCCACTGCTAACTATTCTAAACTGTTTTTTAAGGCATGTGCATGTGTGAAAGGCCAATTGAGCAGAATCCTCAGTGTGTGTTGGGGATGTGCATGCAGCCTTACTTTAATTATATTACTTTATATATTTTATTCATATTTCTAACTACCGCACAAGTAACAAGTATAAAGTAACTCATACTTTGTGCTCGAAGCTCCACAAGCTCATCATTAAGGGAATCCACTGATTCTTCAAGCTGTCGTTTCTTCTGTTCCACATTCTGAAGATACTCTGTAAGTGACTTGATCTTGGCTTCATGCTTCCAGGATAAAAATAGGATAAATATCACAATGTAACATATAAACAAATTCAGCAAAATGCAAGACTGGACAAGTTTCAACAGGAATACATTCTACTGTATTCATCAACAATTCACCAAAATACTTCATTGTTCTACAAAGCTATTGTTGGCGTACACTTTTCACTCTGTGGTGTACAAAGCAAAATAATTTGTGGCGATAAGACTTCTGCAAAATAATGGTATTTAGTTAGTGTTCTCTCTCTTCTTCAGCTTTTAGTGGTATAGGACTGAAAACTGCCCTGACATATTGTGAAGGGCAGGATACAAAGCTTTAAATAAATACAACTGGAGAGGGAAAATGGAATGGAATTACTGGAGTTCTGTACAGCAGCACTCCACTCTGCAACATATTATTACAGGTGTCACTTGTATTAATTTTTAAACTACAATTACCTATGTATGATAAAACAAACTGCTAACTCTGGAATCAGGAGGCAGAAATAACTTAATTGACAAAGCCAAACCACATTCACCTGTGAGATACGAAGCTGACAGGCTGCCAATTCTTTTTCATTTTCTTCCATTTTCTTATTGCTTTCTGTTTGTGTACTTTCTAATTGCTTGCATCTTTTCACCATAGTTTTCACTTCAGATTTCATTTTACTAATATACAGTCGGGCAACTGTGAATTCCTCATCTATCATGCCAGTTCCTTCTGGTTGCTGAGAAGGAAGAACTACTGTTTAGTTCCAAACATCTGAAATGTTAGCAAATGATCTACAACAGTTTAACAGACAAGGTATTTCTATCCTGTTAATCTGCATGGTACACGACTTAATTGTATAAAGAGATTTGATATTGTGACAAAATCAGAGCTGATTTGATTTTAAATCAAATTGATTTAGATCACTAGTCAGTAAGATTGGATTTAAATCATGGTTTAATATGCAATTTGCACACATGCCTGCATTACCTGTAGGTAGAGGAACTTTATCTACAGGAACTAAGATAATACAGGAACTGTATTACCTGTAGATAAGAGGAACTAATAACTTTAAAATATTCCCAAACTGAGTCTCTTTTACAGCCTGCTGCCATTATAAGTTTTCTCCTCCAGGGAAAGAATCACATGGTAAACTTCAGACTATACACACAAAAAACCCAAGACTTGTAGCATATTCTGTTCAAAAGCTTTCACTTTCATTTTTACTGCTTGCCCCGCCTTAGCTTCTTGAACAGATCTATTCCACATCCAACAATCTTCTGCTATTCACTGAATTTTTAAAAAATTCATATTTAAGAAGTAAGAGGTTGCTTCTGTGTACACAGATTTACAAGGGGACAATGGGATTAAGGATTTTTCTCAAATCTGTATGTTTATTTTATAACATTTTTGCTAAGAAAAGGAGCCATGTGACACAAATTCAGTTTTGGGAACTGTAAAAACCAAGCACCAGTGATATTCTAGATGTAAAAAATTCCCAATAATCTGACAGAAACCTCTGGAAGAGCATGACATTGTGAATGGATTAATGGAATGCATTTATCAAAAATTTAAAATAGTGAATGAATATACAGCCTCATGCTACATAATTTAAAAACTAATCCTTATTTCATGATAAATAACCTTTGGACTGTAATGTAATTTAAATAGAAAAATATCTTTAGATAGATTTTTCATCAAAAACATTCTATTTTTTAAAAAATCCAATTTAAATTTTTAAAATCAGATTTAAATAAAAAATCATCTGATTTGAATTTAAAAATCCATTGATTTTTATGCACCTTAGACAAAATTATGTGGACCACCTGCGCTGCAAAATTATCTTCCAATCTGTGTAAGCCAGATCACATTTGAGAAACGATCAGATTAATTCAAGGAGGATTGAAAAGCCTCCTTGAACTTTATGGACTGATTCACATGTAACTACTCTGTACTACCACCACCACTTTGCATATGCAATCTGTCCCAACCTAGGCAGTATAAAACAGAGAGTTAAACTAGGCAAAACTTGAATACTTGCCTCATCAATGTCTCATGTCAAAATGCAGCAAGCAACATGCATGGATATTGACAAAGTCAGGATGCAAAAAGGTTCATAAGAATGGGTGGTGACTACACCTCCCCCTTTTAGATATAATCCTCTAATCCCAAAATTTCAGTCCCTCTTCACACTTCCCTATCCTCTAAATTAAGTTGCTTTTACCCACACTGTTAACATACAGGGACACTTTAAGGAATACCAATGCAGCATAGCGGTTATAAGTTTGGACTAGGGATGTGCAAGATCTAAGTTCTAACCATGGGGCTTGATGGGTGACTTTGGGGGAGCCAAACACTCTAAGCCTAACCTACTTCACAAGGTTGTCATCATGATAGAATGGAGGGAAAGTGTTGTGAGGTGTCAGCTCACAGTCGTAAATGACCCAAACTTATGCCGGCAATAAAACTAAAGTCTTTTATTGCTCCTTTTCTACAAGATTTACGATGCTACGAATAAGCTCTACTGCAATGACCTTTACAAGTTAGTTGCTGTCTTCTTAGTGACGTCCCTCAGGGAACCTACATGGGATTAGCTTTCTTTGCCCCACCTTTCCCCCCTGAGGTGGGACAAAGCCTCCTTTTGTTCCAATCAGCGTAAGCTAGTAAGCTATGTCTAATAGTCGCGCGAGACAAATCTATCCCGCCTCCTGCGTCTTCTGTATCTTGTTCAGGAGACTCAGCGTCGGGAGGAAGGGGGGTATCCTGCCCACGCTGTTCAAGGGCAGAACTTTAGTGTCTTTTCCCTCGGGGCCCTCGTGGTCGGACAGAGGCTTGGCTGTTTGTCCAAGGGGTAAAGGGTCAGGATGAGGGATGGCTACCTGTTCAGCTACTCCCAAGCCAGGTTGTGGAAGGGTCACTTGGCCACAGGGCCTCAAGTATAAGTCCTCCTGTTCTGATGTCTGATTCTCTCTTTGGGCGTTTGACCCTTCCTTGTGAGGTGCCACCTCTGTTGAGGCATCAGGCACGACAGAAAGAGAACCTTGTTAAGACAGCTTGGGGTTTTTTTTGGCAAAAGAAAGGACGACTATAAATGTAATAACAAAAATAATGTGCTCTGTTAATACTAATATAAATATACCTGTAATCAATGGTATGCACTTTTAAATTCAAAAAAGGTAATGTTTGTTTTGTTCCTTTTTAAACATGGTGATAGTGTTGTTTTTGTTTATATTGCATAATAAGAAATAATAAAGGAATATTTCTAATGCCAGGGTATGGGGAGGAAGAGAGAAATTATTCTGATGCTTCTTGATATAATTCAGCTAACACTTACCTTAACATCGTTATTTCCTACAGCAATTCCTATTTCTGCAAGATCTTTTAGCAGAGATGCCATCATTTCTGTTGCCCTTTTTTTCTGGTGATTGGTCATTTCTTTAAGTTTCTGAAGTTCTGCATCTATACTAGCTAATGTTATCTGGAAAAAAATCAAGATGCAAGAAATTATATATATATATATAGTTATCCAACCAGTACTTTCAGCAGCCAGTCAGCTAAGACATCTAACAGACTCCCAAGAACCACAACCATTTCTGAAGTTGCTATCCCTTGCTGGCTGAAGTATGTGCTTAGCAGAATTGTTTTCTTCTTACAAATAAATGTTTTCTATAGTGTAACCCAAAGGAGGATGCCCCAGATGCACTGTCCAAAGCATGCAACAGCAAGGAAAGCCTTGCAAGAAGTCTCATGTAGAAGAGCCAGGAAGGATGCACTCCACTGCAGATATGCCAGACTTCCACCTGACCTGTGCTACTGCTGAGCCAAGACACTAGAGAGTGGGCACTGGGGGGAGGGGGGACCAAGTTCCATCCTGCCGCCCTTCCCAACCTCCTCTTTGTTTAGAGTATCGTCTGCTCCCATCTTCTGCCATGAAGAGAGGACATGACACATCCAGGTCCAATAGCTTTCCCCACCCAAGCCTTGCCACAGCATGGGGGCATGTACCTGAGGCCCAATTTCGTCTCACTGCTCAAACAACTTCTGGGCTCCAAGGACTCATGTCCCTGAAGCCCAAATCCCACCCCTCTAGTTTGCGCTTATCAGCTGGAGCAGCAGAGGCAAGCTGAGGCAAGCCCTCACAAGGTTGCCAACCCAACCTGTTCTGAGGACAGGATAGGATAGTGGCCTTGGGAAAGCTTACTGTAATCATGCCCCTGCCATCGCTGGGACTGGGGTGGTAACGAGGGGCTCTGCATAGCAAGAGAACCACATGTTGGACCACCCTGGTCTACAGTTATATTAATTCTCTAAAAGAGATGTAGGCTTTGCCTTTTACGCAATTACTTGCATTTTCTCTTGAGAGAAAATGACTCGCTAAATGTTAGGAACCTTGCTAAATCAGTTGTACCAAAATGAAACTCTAATGGCATTTGAAATGAACACAGGGGTGACTATTAAATTTTAGAGAGCGTGAGGGGGCATGCTTTCTTAAAAATGCATGTGAAATTCTACTGAACAATGAAGTAGCAGCTGGTTAGATTTTGTGTAACATCAATTCAAACTGTTAGCTTCTTAAACTGACACCACTTACTGAAGTTAAAATGAGTAGTTCAGCTAACTCTGAAAATATCAAAGTGAAAGGGCTGTTTACTAACACCCCTTACTAAAAGAGAATCAGGGAGTCGAACAGTTCAGATTTTGACCCTTTGCAGCACAAGGGAAGAGGGCATTAGACTCAATGAATTCAAAACTGGGGTGGCCCCCACTGCAATTGCTTTTAAAGAAAAATATTTGGAAGCTTCAGACATTATGGCTAATGAGGCAGCATAAAAATTGAGCAAGTCCCAGCTTTGGAATTTGCTCCCATGGCACTTTATTCTTTCCACACCAGGTCAAAAACTTTTTATTTTCTCAGTACTTTAAGGGTTGATGGGTTTTTAAACTGGAACTTTATCTTTATTCTACACATTTTAATCCTACTGTTATCGATGTGTGAGCCAGCTTGAGACCCATTTCAGGTAAAGATTGGGTAAAAATGTTTTAAATAAAATAAAATTCAAATAATTAAATAAATATTAATTTCAATTTAAGGCTTGTAAGGCCATTTTTCAAGATCTAAACCTCTCAAGACTGCTTACTGAACAAAAGGCAGAGTTTACAATAATTTCATAATTCCAATAATATAGTGCAATATAAGACAACAGAAGTACAAAAAAGTGAAGGCAACCCATTAGCCAAACCCTTTAACCCATCAACAAATCCTTTAACACAGTGAAACAGAACCAAATCAGTAAGAAAATAAGAGTTAAATATGGCAGGAAACATTAACAACATAATTTCAGTAAAAGACTCTTCCAGGTAATGAGTGTTCTCATGGAGAAGCTTGTTAAGAAATAAGCAGGTCTGAACTGTTAGTGAGAGAAGAAGCAAGTATGCCCATCCAAGATGTGAAGTATTTCATAAAGTGATGCCAACTGCTACAGCACTTCCCTCCTTCTGCATTTTCTGCCTGCTTATCTATGCTGCTTTAAGACAAGGTACAGGCAACCACCACTATCATTCTTCCTTGCAAATGTCAAGGATAAGTTTTGACTACATTTTCTTCAAAGCCTATGAGAAGCTAGATTCAAGTTTTAAGCAACCTAAGGACTTTGATAGCAAGTGATGCTGAATGACAGGAAATCTTTAAGCACCTCAAACACACTGTGCTTCAACTTTCATTAAGGTTCAAGTCCTTGAAGACAAATACAGAACAGCCTCCTTTTTGAAGGTGGAAATTAAAATTTTTGAGAATATAACATTTTAACAATGGCAGTTCTATTAAGGATTATATATTATGGTTGCAGAGTCCTAAACTCCCATTTCTTCTTTTCAAGCAGAAGCTATGCAGTGTTGCACTCCAAGGATTCTTGAGCTACCAGTGAAAATCGGACAAGACAGAACAAGTCTATGGCACAACACATAATTATATAGAAGACTGCAGAAGTCTCCATGCACACTTTGAAATATGATGACTCAGATCTTGCAATGCTGTTAAGCAGTTACACAAACTTGATGAAACTTAAAATGCAAGGTAAGAAAGGCATATAGCTATTGTTCAATGTTGAACTTAATACTTTTCAGCAAAGGGCAGGCAGCCAACTTTCTAAATCCTGTGTTGTGTAAGTAATAGCAGGTCGATTTTCAATAACAAATTTGTCTGTCTGAAAGCCTCATAGAATGCAAATGTAGACTTATAGTTTAAATCAGGATCTCCTAACTTGGCTTTAGTTAGAATACTACTAGTAGGAGAGAACTTAGGAGCCACTCTCTAACATAAACACTCATTCTCTGATGTAATAGTGCAAGGAACAGTCAAATTCAAAGTTTTGCAATGAATTATATGTTTAGATATGCAAACTCTAACAGACTATACATATCCAACAGCATTTTTTATATTCTCCAAGATATCTAATGACCTTTCTAGATATTCCTACATGAGGGAGTACATAGAAACAGCGTGAGTCAAAAGGGACCTCCTGGGTCATCTAGTCTGACCCCCAGCACCTGCTGGCTCCACTCATGACATACATACATAGTACATAAATTCCTACTCTTCCTGGAAAAATACTCTGTTAAACAGAAATCAAGACAGATTAAAACAGGATTAATAGCTGTGGTGAATGTGGATTTCCCCACCTGTTCTTTCTCATGGCAGCCTCTCTTATGAAAAGGCTAAAGGTTGCTTTGACCAACTAAATAAGCTACCATGAATTGTAACATGTGCAAGCAACCATTTAGAATTTTCAAGATGATGTAATCCAAAGCCAGGCTGCAGGGTTTTTAAACCGTTTAAACATACCCTGTCCCTAGTGTTATGTGATGGGTGAATATTTAATATTTGCCCAGTCTGCGGCACAGCTTATCATGGCTTAAAGATGCTACAGTGGGTCACTATATGGGTGAGAACTGAATCAGGAAGTCAGGCAATCGTGCTGAATGGGGTAGGCTACGATGAGTCGGGATTCCCTTTAAGAACATCCGAAAAGCCATGCTGGATCAGAGCAATGGTCCATCAAGCATTCTGCTCATATGGTGGCAAGCCAGCTATCCACAGAGTCCCTCAAGCAGCATGGGCAAGAGTTCTGCCTGCCAAACTCCTCAGCAACTGGTGTACACAGACATGCTGTTTTCTGATATCCCTTCCTCTCATTGAAGGCAGATGCTGGATCCTAACCCATAGGATTTTGTTAGCTTTTAATGAACTGTGACTCATAAAAGCAATCCTCTTTCTTGCAGACTGACAATATCAAATAATTTCCTGGTCAGCAGTGATCAATTGCCTTAGAGATTTCGTAAATTTCAAAACAAAGAACAATACAGCAAAGTAAGAATTAAATAAGGTGCCAAATGTATCATCTGTTGCAATTTATTTGCCTGCACAGCATTCATGTTGACTCAAATGGCAGGCCCAAACAGCACCACACTTAAGGCACTTCATAAAAATGAGTAAGAATAAATTGTCTCCAACCCAAAGTTCCTACTGCTTCAATGTACAAGGAATTTAAACCCAATTCATTAATAAGCTGTTATGTTTGCTGTTATGGATGCTGTGTTATTTGTTATTGAAGAAAACAATACCAAATGGATGGGCATACAGATTTATACAAATTTACACTAAAGACAGTTTAGTTTCCTTTCAAAAATACAATTTTGAAGAGGTTTAAAATTAATAGTTCTTCAGTTGTGTCATTTGGCAAGAAAAGACATTTACCAGTTCTTTTCCCTTATTTCTTACCGATTTCTGATTTAGTTCATCACTAAGCAGTTCATATTCCTTTGCCTTGTCTTCCACTTCCTGTGACTTTTGATCATAGTTGACAGCGAGTTCCTCAAGGGCTTGAAGCACTTCTTTTACCTCCTCTTTAGAGGCATCATTTTCAGCTTGAAGACGATTCAGTTCTGCTTGCATATTGTCTTGGTCCCGTCTGGTAGATGCTAGAAGCTACACAGAGATTTTAAGACAACTGTGTGATTACCAGAAGTTATTTCCTAAACCGCACAAGTCATGTTCTTCATTTGAGAATTCTTAAAGCAATTAACAGCTACTGCTGATTATCCTTTTATTGTCTGTTGAATAGCTAAGTATTTCCCCCAATTTTTTATATTTGGTTATATCATGCCGTAACTAGTCATTTCATGCCAAGATTCTGTAATGATGCTGGTCATTATTTTAAATCCTAAAAGGTACTAGAGTCTGTAGAGATCTACTATCAGTGATGTTCCTGAATCTACTACCTCAGTTAAACAAATAGCAACCCTTTTGAAATTAGTTGCTTAATTTAAATATATAACATTTCCCCAAAACATTTACAAATTGTAATTCATACTATTAGTATTTCACATTTTCCATACTTCCTTATCACCAGCAATATTCTCAATTCCAACATTAAGCTATGTTTCCATTTAATATCTTACCTATATAATGTGATCTTTTGTTCTGTACAAAGTAACAAAATTATAAAATAGTAAAACTCACCTCTTCCTGATCCAACATCTGCGTTTTTAGCTTTTCTACCAGCTGACTCTGTTGATTGATTTCTTCATCCTAAGTTTTAAAAGTGCACGTTCTCATTAAAAAAAATCAGTTTGTTAAAAGATTTGACCCTCCATATTAGAGACAACAGTTAAAATATTTAAAAGATCAACAAGTTCTGCATCTCAAGTTGAATTTCAGCTTGTGTTTCTTAAAACAGCAAGTCTGCAGGCCAAGCAGTAACCCCATTTTCAAAACTAAGGGACTCTACTCTGTAACACTGCATGAAGACGTTCTTCCAGATTGAGTGCTCAAGCCAACAATTCAGTATCCGAAGAAAAGCACTTCATGTTAGAAAAATCTGGATAGTTAATACAGATGGGTTGTAGGAGGAAGTCTATATGTAAATGCACTGTTATGATTAGTACCATCCTTGAAAGAAGCTCAGTTAAAATAAAATTATATTTGCCATTTATATGTAAAGTATTTTTATCCTGCTTCTCATCCAAAAAAGAATCCCAAAAAGTTCATAATCAAATTCTCACTTTAAAAAAGACCATCCCTGCCTGTACACTTACACTTTAAAAGGACACAACACATATGTGTGAGTTGGGAATGGAAGAGGAAAAATATGTCAGCAGGGCTTATGAATTGACAGGGTTATAAAAATCATACAGGCAGTATGCCACCACAAAAAAGGGATAGAATCTATAGAATGAATATTTGTGGCAATATGAAGCTTAGATGTTGACTACATATATTATGGGGAAACCTCAAAGTATCAAGTTATTGGGGATTAGTTTATCTCCTAACAGAGAGAATTGTTACACAGTATGTTTGTACAACACAGTTAAATCTATAGTGTTGATTTATGTTCTGGATATCTTGAACAAAAGGTTGATTAGGAATTTGTTTAACAGGAGCCAGAAGTGTCTTGGTTAAGCACTAGAAAAATGCAATAATTCTATCTAATAACATGTTACATAAGCATTCTACCTAATATATTTCTTTCTTTTCCTTCTTTTCTTTAGTTTTATGAACTGTATGGTTTATGTTTATTATTTACTGTTTTAATCATTATATTATTGCATTTTATAGTATTATTTATGATTGTAAGCCGTCCTGAGCCTTCTGGAAAGGGATAAAATGTTTTAAATTAATAAACAAGTGATCATTTGAAGCTTTAAAACTGCACATATGGATCAATTAAAGGACATGGTACATAAACAGCAAATTATGTTTTTGCATCCTTTTATTTCATTCTATCATTCACTATCATTTTGATTTGAACATATAATTCTTCCATTTAGAAATCACCAGAAAATGGAACTTGATATTGATAAAGCTTTATCTAAAAATGCATTTTTGTTTTTATATTATCTTGTGCTTTATGTAAACCACTTTGATATCTTGGGATGTCAGGCAATTTAAATAATTGGCCTACCTTATCATCTAGTTGTTTATACAGTTTAGCTATTTCTTCCTCACACTTCCTCCTTTCAGCATCAGTGAAATTACCAATTACTCCAATAGTAGCAGTTGGCGTATCGTTAGTAATAGTAATATCCTTATCTACTGCAAATGCTTCCAAATTGGCTTTTTCCTTGTCAAACTGTTCATCAACAGGTACCGTCTCTCCTTTAAGACAAAAATTCCAATCATATGACAACTTGATGGAAATAGTTTTATAAACTGATTCAGTATTAGGTCAGTTCAGTTGACATGATAATTTTACTGAAAGATTATTATTTACATTAACACCATTCAAGCCAGACACAAAATACCATCTACTGGATTATATCAGGAACTAAGCCTGATAATGCTACACTAAACACATCCTCAACACACACACACACACACACACCATTTCAGTAAGACCATTTAAAGCAGGCTGGAAAACTACTTCGAATTTTTAGGTGCAAGCATCATGTTAGATACCCTTACAGATTTGCATTGTAAGTATCACTGAAAACCTATGTCATCACTCACCATTACGCCACCTATTGAGCTCATTTTCAAGCCACTGAATAGTGTTCCGCAGTGTTTTGTTTCTCTCTTTTTCTCTTTCATATTTCTTCTTCCACTGTTCTGCAGTTAGTTCTACATTAACACACACTGTATTTTTGATAGTCTTGGCTCTAGAATGGCAGAATTGGAGTTACAACGTATTAGTTAAAACATTTCTTGGCTATGTTTCAAGGAAGAAGCCCTCCAAAGGCAGCATACTATAATAAAACACAATAGAATGGTATGAAATAAGACACAATAAAAACTGAGATAGTTGCAGCAAAAACAGTGATTAAAATGAGCAAAAGCAGCAAACTTTTCTGAGGAAGGCCAAGGAAAGCATGGAGGGCAGGAAGGAACCTTGTGGCACCTTACTAGCTAATGGTCATGGGATGGAAAAGAGGTCTTCCAGCACCACCTCTTACAACAACTCCTTCAAAAAGGACCAGAATTATTTTAATTCTCTATCTCCTAAGCTCAACCCAGATAAACCATCACTCATTGTTTGGAAAACTGTTAAGAGGTCCAGAGGAGCCAAGAAGTTTGCACTCCCTTCATCAATAATTGAGAGCAATAATTAACCAAAATCATGATTTTTCCAACAAAGGCCTTACCCACTGCTTTTTTCCCCATCCCCCAAGGAGGCATCAATCACCTCGGGGGGACAGTTACTCAGGCTAGGCAAATTTCTCAAGCCAAGAAGGATACAGATCTAACAACGAGCAGCAGGCCTCATTCCTTCAAACATTTAGTCCACACGCTCAGGTTGCACAAGCCAAACTCCACAGGATGACTAAATGGTATGCTAGTCCTATCCATTCCAAATTCTGCCAAATCATTCATTCATCCATTGCTTTTATATACTGTACAAAAACCACATGTGGCTCCCAAAATGTTTTACAGAAAAGCAGTACCATAAAATGTTATGATGTAAACGTTAATAATCACAATAACAATTTCATCATTAAAATAATATGTAAAAACAGTCACAAAAGGGTCATTATAAATGGATCCAGTTTCAGCCAAATCAACATGAAAGCAACCTATTCTATTTACAAAAGCTTTCCAGAATTGCTGACACCAGGTCCTTAAAGGTCTGAGTTGTTCTATCCTAAAGCCTATACCCAACAAGCCTTTAACTACCAAAAGAGGTGTACAACACGGCACAGATGCAATGGTGGTGGAAAAGTAAGATACTTTTGCCACTATCACCACCACATAACACCACAAATGGATTCTTACTTGTATTTGACTGTATTCGTTAAGAGTGTTTTACTATTTGCCTTCTAATCACCAATGCACTAATTTCATCCACCTTAGGCCCCTATACAATTCTGAGGAGCTAATATGGTTCTACAAATATGTCAAGGACATTTGAGAACAATCGTATCAATAGCATGGGTCATCTCTTAGTTCCAGCCGGTGATCAGAACCTTGACAGGTCTGCCAGCTAAGCCTACAGGACAGTTCCTCTTGACCTCAAAACTCAATCGGGATTCATCAATCTCTAGAAGTGGACCACTGAACTTGATCCCGTAAATCTGCTAATTAGATACAGGATGACTAATCAGCTCACAAGGGAATTCAATTTTTATCTGCACCAAGGACTTCAACTTTGATTTACATTTTTCTTAGTCATTAAAGCAAACCTCTGGTTGATTTTTCTTTTGCCATCCTCATTCAGCTTCAGAGACCAATGTTACACTTTCTTTCCTTGGAACTTCATATACAGTGTGGGCAAAAAGTACTGGCTGGGTCACGTTTAGTGTCTTAGGTGCTCAAAATATCCTCCATCAATGCTGCAACATTCCTGTCTCCCACACTGTGACACAAATTTTGGTTAATACCAATGTCAAGAAATGCTTCCAAGACGAACTTCTTCAATTTGTCCATTGTGTGAGGTCCATGACCCAATCAGTACTATATACCTACTTTTGGCCCACCCTGTACAGTACTCAATTCACTTTGCACATGATTGTGGAAGTTGCAGAAGCACAAGGCAGTCACTCAACAAGAAATATTAACTTTAGTGTTAGTCCCATATAGGAACAGAGAGAAAAATATTCATGAAAAGTTGTAAAAGCAATGGTCATTAGGCACAAATGTGTTTGTTGTTAAGTATGGACATGAATCATCATGATAAACTGCAGCCTGTTAGAAATGATGGAAATCCAAGATACATTGGTTTCCAGAAGAGCATACTACCAACTCTCTGGTTTGTAACTTAACCATACTCTGAAGCTTGTTACTCACCTTTGACCAAACAACAGTGTAGATTTTGTTTCAGATTCGTTGTAAGATGATGGAGAACAGCAAATTACAATTGTGGTTCTACAGTTGCCACCCAATGAATCTTGTAAGATTCTGGTCATTTTACTATCACGATATGGAACATATGTCTGCAAAAGAAAAAATGCCATTCACTTTAAAAATATAGTTATGATTACAACTCAGCTTTTGGTAAGTATTTTACAGTGAAAGATATTTAATATGTGCCCAAGCTGAAATACATGGAATACCTAGTTTAGTGTTTTCAAGCAAGGAATTCTACATGGACCCAGTTTGTACATCACTGTGGCCTGTTTGCAGGGCACCATTGGTTTGATTATCAACAGAGGCACAATTTGCCATGCTGTTCACACCTGCCTGGTAAGGTCTGTTGGAGGTGGGAAAACAACTGTATCTAAATAATTTGCAACAAATATTTTCAAAAGAAGAGGTATACTTACACTGTTTTCAGCTAAAGCAGAAATGACATTTCCAAGAGCTGACAAAGACTTGTTGATATTCTTGGCTTCATCCAGTACAGCACCTTCTGCTCCAGTTTTACTAACCTAAAAGAAGCAGTTTTAACAAGCTTCAACAAATCAATTTTTATTCCACAAACTCTGGCCTGGATCTAAATTATCTTGAATAATGAACAATTATCTTTCCTATCCCCCTTCACAATGCAACACCTTTGCTCTTCACCCCAGAAACTATTTCTGAAGGTCAAAGTGAAGGTGTACAACATCTGCAAAGATTCCATGTATCAGTAGGTCATTGGAACTGTGGATAGTTCATTCCGTTTTATTCCTTTAGCATTACAATATAAAAAATTACCTTTTCACTACCAGCCAAGTCTACAAGGTAAAGCTTTCCACTCAATTTCTGCTCCGTTTGAGTGTTTTCTTGCTTTACGTTTATGAGAAAGATGCTATGACTTCGAGAGCTATGTTCATTCATGTCTGAAACAGAAAGATGTTCGGAACTGTAGCAATATATATTGTGGAAAGAAATTTCATGCGCTAGGTATTACAAATGTCTAATTAAACTTGAAGAAGCCAAATAATGAACTTACAGAAAAGTGACATAACTTAGTCAAGTGGCACATTAACGCTGCTCAAGAGCCAAACATAGTCTGCTGACCAGACTATGATTTATTTTATATATTCGTGGCAGAAGACTTAACCAAGGAATCTAAAATAGGAATTATGTCCTGTACAAGATTGGGCAACTGGCTCCTTTTTTCCAGTACTCACCACTATTTTCTATGAGCTCCTCAGTTCCCCATTTTGGTACCACATTAAACATGTAAGATGCTAGTGCCTTCCAAGCAGAAGGGGAAAAGAACTTTTTTATTTTCATTCAGCAGTGCCTACCAGTTGAGAAGCCGGCTACAGACCAAAAAGAGTGCAACTGAGTCATTGTCTATTTCCTTCCCTTCTAAAAACAGCCCTCCCTAACAGGTACAGGGAGATCACTCCAGAAATTCAAGAGAGTTCCTATTTCATGACGGGATGAGAATCCCATCAACAGGAAAAGAACGGATGTACCAGGTTTCTCCACCTAGGAGCATCAGACTCTCCTCAGTACATTACAGAGGTTGGGTAGCAATTATATCATGGCTCTGCAACTCTAGTCCCACACATCCAACTGAAGAACTGAGTCATCACCATTAAAAAAATACAATGTTTCCCAATGGAAAAAAGGGATCATTTCACTATAAAACTGAAAACTTAGTTATAAACACTGCTTGTACAAGAACAAAAACGGTTCAGGAGGACAACTTAGGTAATTTTAAAAATTGTGAAATTAATCACTTACTTGTAACTGCTACATGTCTATTAGATTTTCCTTCATCTATAGTATCCATAACTTCATCTGGACTACATACAAAACGTTCAGTGCAGCCCTGTGAAAATGCAATTGTGTCATTAACCTCTAAAAGGGATCTAAGGAGAGGCAAAATATTGGCTTAATCCTTATACACACCTTCACATAAGGTACTCTGTTTTTGTCCTCATGAACAGAAAGATTGGTCTTTGAGACTGAAAGACAGGAAAAGGCATTAAAATAGTTATCCTGTTGTTAAGGACCTACTGGCTTGACAAAGAAATAAGCCTTGCCTTCCTATTTCAGCAATCTGTTAAGTGCCTCTGGAAAGAGCTCACAAACAGCATGACTATGAGAGCTATACCTCCTCAAAACCTGGGGTTCTCAGTTACCCATCCTAACTAAAACCTGATGAAAGAGTTATGCCTGAAGGCCAGTTTAGAGGGCATAATCATATCTTGCAGCTATTATTCTGCAATTATGAATCACATAAAATAGAAATTATGAATATAAAACTTTAACTTAGTGTCAATCAACTGCAATTGTTGGTACGTTTTACTGTTATAATTAATGTTATTTTCCACTGTCTCTCTCTCAGCTTTCACAATGATAGAGACCTTGTCTCTTTGCTTTGTTATACCCTTTTTTCATGCCTTAGATTTATTGTCCCTGTAGGAAAATGGAGTTCTGCAGGGTTCCATCTTGTCCCCCATGCTATTTAACATCTACATGAAACCGCTGGGAGAGGTCATCAGGAGGTGTGGGCTGCGGAATCATCAGTATGCTGATGATACCCAGCTCTACCTCTCATTTTCCACCAATCCAGGTGAGGCAGTGGCTGTATTGAACCAGTGCCTGGCCGAGGTAATGGGCTGGATGAGGGCCAATAAACTGAAGCTCAATCCAGACAAGACGGAGGTCCTGTTGGTAGGTGGATCGGGCTTTGGGATGGGGGACTTTGACCTTATCCTGAATGGGGTTGCACTCTCTCTTAAGGACAGGGTCCGCGGCTTGGGAGTGCTCCTCGACCCAGAGCTATCGTTGGAAGCTCAAGTGACAGTGGTGGCAAGGAGCCCTTTCCTTCAGCTTCGGCTGATCCATCAGCTGCATCCCTACCTGGAGAACGACTGCCTGGCAACAGTAACGCATGCATTGGTCACTTCCTGATTAGACTTCTGTAACGTACTCTACATGGGGCTGCCCTTGAAGACGGTCCGGATACTTCAATTGGTGCAAAATAGAGCTGCCAGGCTGCTGACGGGGACTGGGCGTTGTTCTCATATAACCCCAGTCCTCCGTCAGCTCCACTGGCTTCCCATTGAAGTCCGGGCCCAATTCAAGGTGCTGGTTATCACCTACAAAGCCCTGAACGGCTTAGGCCCTGGTTACCTAAAGGAGCGCCTACATCCATATATGCCCTCCCGCCCCAAGAACGGCGACAGAGGCCCTTCTCCGGGAATCCTCTGTGAAGGATATTCGGAGGTTGAGTACTCAGAGGAGAGTTTTCTCTGCGGTGGTGCCCAACCTATGGAATGCACTCCCCAGAGAGGTCCGCCTGGCGCCATCCTTGTTTTTCAGCGCCAGGCCAAGACCATTTTTTTAAATGCTATTTTAACTGTTAATGGTTTATTTGTTGGTTTAAATTGACCAGGCTGGATCCACTATTTTATTTTATTTATTTGATGAATTTTTTGTATTTTATATGGGATTTTAATTATTGTAAGCTGCCCTGAGGCTCATGCGATGGGGCGGCATATAAGTTGTTTAAATAAAATAAATAATAAATAACTATCACAATGAGTTTTAGATTGTGATTTTCCTAATACCCTTAGTGAGACAGAACAACAAGACAACCCAGTTTAGACAACAAGTTGAATTCACTATGAGTGTTTTAACTGCTGAAGAGCCATGGCACATGCTGGTCATCATTTTCATTGTGAAACCCCTGAATTATGGCAACTGGGGAGGTTGCCATGTCATATAAATCTGGTCACTGTGGGTTATCTGAAGGACACATGACCACTGCATAACATTTTTACAGATCATAGGTCATGCAAGAATTGCTTAACCTTCAAATCCAATCTTCAGTTGGATTTGTGTGACATACCAACACCCAAATTGTTGCAATCAGAGGATGGATATTCAAAATTATACTCAGCATGTAACACGAATTGCTTTACTTCCTAATATTTGGCTTACGAGAGAGGTGTATGCCAGATCATATTCTATTCCATCTCACTTAAAATACTATTTGCTAAGAAGCACTTGGTTTTCCAGAGACTTTAGACAATCACTCATTCCTAGTGGTTCTCTGTTACAAGGTCATTCTTCATGATTGCAGTTTTGTTTCTTTTGATGAAATTTTATGACATTTTATTGTATCTTACTGCATTGCCTTTATGTAGCAATACAAGCAGCTTCAGCTATTGGTTAGTACAGAAATCAAAGAAAATATCATCATGGTCATTGCCATCAGTTTCTCCTCTTGAAGAGAAACAGCACTCACCATCCAAAAGGTCCCTTATTTTATCCAGATAAATTTCAAAATACGAAACCTGAAAGAATCAAAAACATTGGGAAAAATCAGTAAACCATGTCCAAGTCCATTGATGTGAGAACAGTATGTGTCATTTGTAACTCTAATGCTGTTATTCTAAGCCACTTTGAGAAGAATTATTTAAAAAGTGGTCTCTATTTTTAAACTATTCAAAGGTTAAAAACAATTCAGGACCTAACAAAAGAGGGAATTTGTGAAAATAAATGTATTATCAACTTCAAAAAGCAGTTGTGTTTCAAATTGAGTGCAAATGTCACTATAGCTGCATGCTTCTAGTGCTTTACTGCTGCTAACAGTGTTGTATCTAACACATCTATGCAGCAAAAGCACATCATGTAACATTAACAATAATATTCATGTAACATTAACATGTCCAATCATGAGTTTATTCAAAGTTTACTAAAATAGCTTCATTAGGACTCTTAGCAGAATTGTGAAGTGTTCAGATATGTCTATTTACACACAGAATCCTACAGAAGTCTGCAACAGTAAGGACTAGGCATGTGCAAAGAATCTGTTTGGAAGTGTGAATCCATTGGATTCCCTGGGCTCATCACCTCAGATTCCAGTCCACTTTGCAGCAGCCTGAGTCTGAGTTCCTGGCAAACACTGCCAATGTTGCAATCATCTGTTCGAATACAATTAACCCCAATTATTTCTAACTCACCTATGCTTAACCAGGCTATCTTCCTCAACCACAAACTGTGGCAACAGTGTCTGCAGGACTTTTCTGAAAAGCTATGAAATTTTAATTTATAGATTAAAATTAAAATTTCATAATTTTACTTTGACAAAAAATAATTTAGATAGTACTAGTAAATACTCTCCTACATGGCAGAAGATATACCATTTTACATTGCTTGTTCATTCTCATTAGACAAATACATTTCAAATAACACAAGGGATTCTTCATAACATTTCAGGATAATCCTTTTCAGAGATTAAACTTTCATTGTTAGGCAGTCATATTTCCAATCTACACATTCATGGGACAGCTAATCAAATGGAAATTATTCACCCTAATTCCAATCTTGATGAACAGAGTTTAGTTTGAAACATAGAGTTAACAAAGGAAAAATACCTTAATATGGAACTCCAAATTTTCATCCATGGAATAAATATAATTAAAAATATCTTGAACTATCCTTGGAATGATACCCATCCCATCATGATCATGTAGTTTCCCCTTGATGTAAAAAAAGAAAAGAATGTACTTCATGTAAAGAATACATATCCTTGACATTTTTGTACACTAACAAATATGAATTTTTAAAGTTCTCTTTACAGACAATTCGTAGCCATAACTTATGAACACATTCCAGGCAAATCTAACATACTGACTCAATGATTTTAACTGTGGAAAGCTAATTCTTCCACTGAAATTAACGGGATATGAAACTCCACTGTCTGAATGTTTAGTCAAAATTAAGACCCAAGAGTTAAGTCATGCTTACAACCTGGACTTTTCAATATCTTAATTCAGTGTGGAATGTGCCATTTGTTAGAAAGTAGTAACAGTCAAATAGAAAAAGGAAATCTCAGTACATAACTTAAAGTTGTCCAGAAGTGTGCCTAACATATCCCCAAATGATTTTTCTCTGCAAAAGCACTGAAAGTTTGCATAAACTGATCAAAAGCTAAAATATTAAAGGTATGTCTTTAAAAAAATGAACCATGAGCAATGAAAGATACAAAAGAAACAGTTCTGAGTAACAATAGAAAAGCACACTGGCCATAAGCACCTTTGTCTGCGTGCAACAAAGTTGCTCCATTACTGCCTGGCTTTCTAAGGTATTTTTAATACATTTAAGGCCACAATCCTATGAAGGTTTAGACAGAACAAACAAGTCTTTTCCTCCGTGTAAACTTGCACAGGACTGTGCCCTCAAACAAATAGATCATGACCACATCTCCAAGATCAGAGGACCCTTTCAAGTACAAGTCAGTATGAAAAAGTGTTGTATGAATTTTTTTCTTATAAAGAAAGTTGGGAACACATACAAGGGCACATGCAGAAACACTTTCCTCTCCTGCAGGGAAACCTTAACAGGACAAATCTGATGAAGTTCAGTGAAAGTCATGGATAAAATTTTGTGACCAAATCAAACCTAATAAAAATGCACTTTATTGTAACCATAAAGTATGTATCCAATTATTAATGAAAAGTTACCTATTATAACTGTTGTAAATACAGTTGCCACTGTATAATTAGGTGTTAACCTATGTTTATTTTGAAAAGGCTATTTTGTTCAAGAAAGATGCACTATTTAAAAGCCCCACAATAAACATGAAAAGCTTAAGAAAACCATATTATCTACACTTTTTTTGCTAAACTGAAACATTATTAACATAGGCTGCACTAACATGAGTATGTAATAGGTTCTCAGAAGCTATCAACAACGCTCACATGAACAAAGGAAGAAAGGTGCAGTGTCAATCACTAGCCACAGTAATACAAGCATTTTCATTTGAAATAGACATTTCCAGCTAGCTTTTATTTTGTTCCTACACTTATAAGCCCTACATCTTGAAAGCAGAAATAGGTTTTTGATATCTATAGAGAAGCAAGTACTAAGTAAACAAGGTAACATTCCTACCTCCATAGTATGTGTCTTCCCAGATGATGTTTGCCCGTAAGCAAATATTGTACCATTGTATCCCTCAAGTACATCTAAGGAGAAAAATGCACATTAATTATATATTCCACAACAACTTCATCAGAAACACTCTGCCTTGAAATAGTGTTTTCTAGGAAAATTTCACAGAACAGTATACTGCATGCAATCCAAGAACTATCTACAGTACAAGGCCAACTTTGGAATGGGGAGAGGGAGCTAGCAGATATTGTACATGGAAAATTCCTCTACCAAGCTTAACAAGGTTGTACACAAGTAAAGGACTTGCATTTATACCTGGTATAAACTTCCTGACATACATGGTGTCTATCCTAAAAAAAAAGCCACCATATTTCTATTTGTTGCCATATGTAAATTCCACAGGTAGATATTAAAACAATGCTGGCCATCTTGGCCAGCCCTTCAATTTGGGCTTGTGTGAGCATACACTTTTCAATAGCGTATGAATGAGGAACAATCCCCTTTCCCACAACATGTTCACAAGATTCATGGTACAAAGTAAAATCACAGAATACACTGAAAAAATCAAGTTTGAGATTTAAGATATGTCATGCTACAACTATGCAAGCATCTTACTTCCACACTACAATTAATAATTCTAAAAAACATGTAAAAAGGCAAGATAGATAAAAGCACCATGCCTACCAACTCCATTTGAGACTCCTGCCTTTTACTGTGATGGGAGGACAGAACTCTCCTCTTACCTTTGACAATCTTTTTTGCACAATCATTATATACTTGCTCCTGTGATGTGTGTGACTGGAACACACGGTCAAATGCGTAAGGCTTAGACTGAAAAAAGATATTAAATAATAACTATAAATACCAGAATTATAAATTAAGTCAGATTTATACTGCACATTGAAAATGCTAGTTTCTTTTTCTTTCTATCTTCAGATTTTATGCTATTGTTGAAACAAAACTCAATTCAAAACTGAAGAATATACCACACATGACATGACCAAAGGTAGAATGATATCCACACTGGTTATTTTTTGCCCAATGTTCAAATGAAGAAAATTAAAACAGACAGAGGAGTGGCACCAAAATAATGACATAGTATCAAGATATGCCAAAATCTGTGGACTTCTAACAGTCATGTAAATAACTTCTTTGCACACAAGTTTAGACAAGTCTAAGTGCAGTTGACACAGACTCATGCAGGGCCTTCTATGTATACTTTGCACTCAAGTATATGTAGTTGAAAATAACTCCTTTTATACTGACTATATAGCTTAATCAACTAATGACCTCTTACATGGAGAAATGTTTGGCTTGTTTGATTCTACTATACAGATAATGGCAATCACAGATATATAGTGCAATTATATGCTCTTGAACAATGCATCTGTTTCTTGCTCTGTTCTGAAATAGATGATAGTGTTGTAACTTGTAGTATCTTCTTGTACAATTTTCTATAATGTTTTAATTGGTTTTTAATGTATTTTACTCTGTTAATATGTTTTGCATTGTAAGTCACCTAGGAAGGCCTCAGCAATTATATGTGGCCTATAAATATATGTAAATAAAATAAAATAAATAATTCAAATATAACTTTGTGCATCTGTAAAGCTGTAACAGGAGGAGCAAAGTATACCTATGTCTTCCTACCCCAATGAAAGCATGCTTGAAAACAGAATCAACAAATCCCTGCTCCCAAATCATACAAAGTCGCACATTCAGATTGTATTAATGCACTAAGCCAGCAATCCTATACCCGTTTGCTCAAGAATAAATTCCACTGAAATCAAGAGAGCTTCCTTCTGAGCAGATATGTACAAGGTTGCACTATAAGTTTCAAAATATATCAAAAAAGTCCTACTACTACCTACATCAATTCACAAATGAGCATGACCTGTGCTGTCCAGGAATAGGCTATTTAAGTCACAACACTCTCACTAGTCATGGCATTATTCTAAAGGCAAATCATGGCTAAAACTTTGTAAATAACATGCCAGATAATTCAAAAGAATAAGTGAAGCTAAAACTTATGGCCAATAGCACAATCAAGATCCAGGTTCTTGGAATATTCTACCTCTCAAAATATACTTAAAATGTAGTTTGATTCCATATTTTCTAGTAAGTATTCACAAAGGATGCATCCCTAAGACTGATTAGCTACTCTAAAAATTATCTAAATTTATCTTCAATGGGTTCCTACTGTACTCCATGTTTATGTCCCAAAATTTCTAAATCCAAAAATGTACCTTGAATAATATTAACTAACCTTTTTTAAAACCTCTAATATCTGCCATTATCTCTTACTATTGAGAAAGGCTCAAAAACGTTCTGCAAGCTTGTTTTCAGAGCAAATATAAACATTATTCAAAAAGTGCTTACACTGTAGAAATACATCATTTTGTTTGTACAGCATCTTCTGGTATAAAAATATGTTAAAACAGATTTGCAAGTTAAGTTTTGTATTATTGTAATGAATAACATGTTTTGTATTTGTATACAAGTATACTGGAGAAACACAGGCATGCCATTAGCCACTAGATTGCTCAGCTAGCAATGCTCACTGAATAGATTTAATTTCAACAGCAGGTACACTGACTCTCACATCTCACATCTGGCTCTGCTCCCATTCTGAAAGCAAGTTCTATGGATGAGGATCAGGCAGTAAGATTAAGGCAATATGAAATGAACAAAAAGATGTGAAGACATGGGGAAGCAAGCCAGCCTGGAAAAAAAAAAAATAAGTGGAGTGGAAAGCTTGCTGGAGAAGTAGCTACTAGCCTTGCTGGTTATGTGCCACCTCCTTCACCAGAGGTGGCATGTCTGCATATACCAGCTGCTGAGGAGCCTGGGCAGGAAGAGGTCTTGCACCCATCCAGTTTGAGGGATCCTGTGCACAGCTGGTCTGCGTGGACCTCTGGCCTGATTCAGCATAGTGTTTCTTACATTCTTATATTACATAAAGAGACTACAAATTGCATTATCTCATAGGAAGAAAAACTCATTTGCTAGTACTAAAGTACATCATGTGACAAGTACATCACATATATTTTCCATGTGTTCGTTGTACACGAAAGAAAATAAGTACCTGTCCTGCACACATGAATCAGACCTTATTATGCACTTCGATCCCTACATGTTTCCTATTTCTAACTAGTAATTTCAAGCTACTCAATGTGACACTCATTCTCTGTTCCTGGGAAACTGGTCTAGATTGTACATGTTCAGCTGTAGAAAGCTAGAAGACAGGTGGTCATATACTGCTAGTAGACTGAACTCTTGAATTCTTAGCACTAAAAAACATTCCACACATCTGTATCACTACTTGCACGTTATTTAAAAAAGAAATAATGGTGCTTTGTAGTCAGAAATTGCTAGCAGAAACAGCCATTTAATAGTGGTGCAGCAGCCCCCTTTCCTACTGAATCATTAGATAAAATGCTTAAATTCTGCACAGATGGTTAAACTGATTGCCAAACATGAATATGGTTTTGGGGGGATGCTAACTCTTACCAATTCTTGAACAGTTTCTGCACCATCCCCAGGCACAGCTCAAGAATCCTTAAGCCTAGGGAACCTGAAGGACAGCTTACATATTCTCCAAGGCCTAAGAATCTTTCCCTGATACCTTAAAACTAGTCTAACTCAATCTGGAACACCCCACTCAGAGGCTGATGGAAGTTGTAGTCTCTATCAAATATGGCTAATGGTCAGGGATAACATGAGTTATAATCCACATGTGCAGAAAGCCCGGTTGGAAAAGCCTGATTTAAACCCATGAAGTAGAGCAGTTAGCAACTGGAAAGAGTACCTTTTCATTGGTGGCACGCTGTTCTGGAATGCTTTTTGGAAGATTTACCAGGCACTAACATTATCTTTTCAGCTCCAGCATGTTAGCCCTCAACTAACTGCTTTTTGTGTTGCTTTTATCTGTGGTGCTGCTTTTATCTGATTATCTTTTTTAATCAGTTAAATTACTCTTACTGTATTTATTTTATTTTTATTTATGCAAGATAACATGGTAATTATCAGAATAACAAAATAAAAATGCATTAAACTTGAAGCTTTTCAGGTTTCCATAAAGGCAGTCTTCTTGTACAACATTTTCAGTACTTTCTTATTTGCTCCTGAATAGAGAGCAAAATATTCTTACCTTTATTTCTGCAGTTCAATTAACAGCTAAAATTATTTCTGTAGCTTCTATCCAAAGCAGTCTTTTACAATACTTTCTTAATGCCATCTGGTCAAGAGCATAGAAGGTTAAAAATAGATGTTTTATAAAGCTGCATGTGGCCAATAAAAGGTGTATTTCCATTGCAGCTAAAGGATTTAATGAGGTTAATTTTTGAGGTAGAGTAGGTTATGAAAATGGAGTACTACTATACAGAAATTCTGGGAGAATATATGACATCAATGTGAAAATTAAAGGAATTTGGAAAAAAAGTAAATCCATAGACTGTTCAGAGTAAGCAAACTGGGGCATCAAAATTTTAATTTAGGGGTTGAGTTGGGGTTTCCAGTTCAGGTTCAGCTGTACTTGAAAATGTAAGATAAGGCTGAAAACAGGTTTAGTAACTTATTTAGCATGCATCAACATAAGGTGTTAATTCTGCTTCACAAAAGAACATTTGAACAAGCATTTGCACAGTGGGCAAACCAGTAAGTTCAACCTTCTTTCACTAAAACCTCCTTCATGACCGGAATGCAATCATCTGAAAGAGAGAGGTGTATGACCACAGAAAATTTGAAAACTTAAAGGTATGCTTTTCATTAAACATAATTTAAAAACTATTATATGGATCTGAGAGGGGTCTGCAGAAGGCAGGCAAAACTGTTGGCAGAGTGCTGAACAGATTTTAGACAAGGCAAAACAAGAAAGAAACTTACCCAGAGTTACCTTGCACTATAGCAATATCTTAGTGGCTCACAATCCAGAAATTCTCAATTCTTATCCTAAAGGAACTTTTTAAACCCTCACTTATCGTAACACTCATCTGTATCATGAATCCCATTCCAGTCAAGTAGGACCCACATGGAATTACTTTTCCAGGGCTTCAAGGGGATAGTAAGTACTGTTTAATCCTTTTGATGTCTGCCACATGGGTTACAGTCTTTATACTGCTCACAGCAGCAACAAAAAGTAAGATTACTATCATTTATTTATTTATGCATTTATTTATTTCAGTTAAATTCTGGATGCCTTCAGACCATAGATGAGTTGGGATGTGCATTAAGTCTCAAGCACAACACTAAATACCAAGTACCTCCTACTGTATTATTTGGTCAGTTTAGTTGCAACCAGCAACCTAATTCTTTCAAATTTCTATACAGATTCCACCTAAAACAAAAATTATGGTTTTAATCTACCATGAACCCAACCCCTCCTTACAAGAAGAATCTATAAAGTGCAATTAAATTTACAGTCCAGGCATCTGAACTAAATAGGCAAACAAGACTGTAAAAGGAGACAAATAGGTCAACGATGGCTTGTTGTATTTACCGTTTGATTGGTTAGTGACCCAAATACTACTTTTCTGGTCTGTTGTTACAATATGGAATAAGTATTTCTTAATGTAATGCTTAAAATAAATACAGCTAGATATTAAGAACCATTCATGTTCCAGTGTAAACTCAGTATTACAATTCAAGACATTTTTATACCAAATGATTTGTCTAAATGACAATTTAATGTTCTTTTCAGATATTTGCATCTTAAAGTTGCATCTAAATCTGAAGAGCCATAAAAAGTTTTATCCAAACCACTTTAAAAAATAAAGACTCCCCAATGCAGCATAGTTCACTTAAAACTATATAAAGTCATTTTAAAAATAAACACCTTCTATCACTTAAGGGAGAAGGAAATATACACTTGCAGAACCAAGTTTACTGAAAAAGATTCCATGCACTAATCCAACAATAGCTGTTTTAGAAGTACTGTTAAGATGCCAAACCAGCACTGCTTGGCTGGTTTTAGCAATATAACTCCTTTCCACAAAGCTGCTCTCATTACTCCCTATGTTGAGCAAACTTTTTGCGAAGTAGCAGAGTTTATCTAAAGTATTTAAGCACCAAATAATCATTCAGTCAGAATACAAAGTTTGTCTTCTGTGTATAAACTTGAGTGTTTTTACTTTGGCCATAAAGCTGCTACTAAAATGACTTTTGAGATATTCTGATTTCTCATTTCCATTCATAATTTATTGTCAAACATACCAACTACTTATAGAAGACTGTCTACTGTAGTTTTACTGTAAATGATATTACTCTATCACCTGATGTACTATTAATGCAGGTTCAGGCTTCAAGTCCGCAGTGTATTTTCAATTCAACTCGTTACAGTACTGTTTTAAAGTCAGGTTAGTACTTCATGTTTATTATAAGATAGTTTTCAGCTACCTTACTGCATAAGTGGGGAAAAAACCCTTACTCTTATACAAATATATCTGTTCTTACCAGTTCCCCAGTAGGAAACAATTGGACAATTTGCTACCTATTAAAATATTTTACAATATAGATTCTTTTCATCCACACCAGAGGCCTACAACCCCAATGAAAGTAAAGTGGGAAAGCAAGCCAAGTGGTTTTGTTTAAACGTTTATGAATGCTGAAACCGCCCCACTCAGCAATTGGAGGTATGACATCATGGTAGATATTTTTCCTCTATTAGATCTGATCAGCATATATAAGCTATACTAAAGAAAGAAAGAGGGAGGGAGAGAGTTGAAGAGACAACCAACAGCTTTCACAGCTGCTACTTCTCCCACGGAGTGCAAAATTCTTGGGAGGAGGGTCTTACAGCCAGCACCCACCCTTTCAAATGGTCCTCTGTCCTCGTTGGAGCTTATCCCTGTAAGCCCGTCCCTCAATCCCACTCAAGCTGTCCCAACAGCTCGCATATCTCCCACTTATCTCAGGTACCACTTGGCACCCCAGAAACAGATTTCTCGTCGCCAGCCAAATTCGTCCCACCTCCGCCACATCCAGAGGCATCCTACAGTCCACCCCCACGCATCGCCCGGGCCCTACAGCTGTCCCCCGCGAGTGTTCTTGCGGGGCCCTAGACTCCACAGCCCCACCCCTTTCTCCCTTTACTTCCCACCTCTCCCAGGAGACTCCCACCTACTCCGGCTTGCTGGCCGGCAAGCCGACGACCCGATCCTTCCCCTCAATTCTCGCCTCCACTCACCGCGATGACGACGGTGTCCTCGCCCTGGAACTTGGCTATATACTTGTCGCCTCGAGTCACCTCAGATTCGTTGAGGGGCCTGAAGCGACACATCACTTTGATGTTGCACTCCGCCGGGTCCGCCATCTTAGGCCAAAGCCGCCGTCTCCTCGCGGGTGTTCAGTCCGGCCCAGCTGCCGTGTCACCAACTGTCCACCCTCTCCTCCGTATTACCTTACTCTTGTGTGAGGGGGGGATTTTGCAAGCCACCAGAGTCAGGAGACCCGCCGCGCTAAGAATGGGAAAGGGTGCTCCGCCCAAGCCTCCTCCGCCGCCGCCTCCTGCACTCACTTCCTTTCCAATATGGCAGCCATGGCGGGTCCTGCAGCCGGCGAATCCGGCCCCGCCCCTTCATCAGGCGGGGGCGGAGCTAACGGTAAAAAAGCGAGGGTGACGTCACCCTCTGCAGATAAAGTGAGTGGCGAGCCTCGCCTCGCGTTCAGTACGCAGGCGCAAAAACTTTCCTCAGTGTTTTTGCTTGCTGTAGCTAGAGGAGCGCGCTGCACGAGGCTCTGGAGTGAAAGTCAGCGCCGAAGCAGCTTCGTAGAGCGCCCTGAGTCGAGAGAGGTTGCTGTTTTTCGCAGACACCCTTGGGGAGAAATCTAGGAGACCCAGACATGGCTAGGTGTTCTAGCTTCTAATTTTAATACTAGCTTTTCTCACCTACATCTGTAGCTGTTCAAGCTTAAACCTGGGATCTTCCGCATGCACAGCATGTGGTTATAATCTGGAGAGGACCCCATCCAACAAGTCTTATACGTGCAGTGTTTTACTATTCATTGCACTTGCATGCACTTTAAAAAACCTTATAAAGCTCTTCCCCTCCAAGGCAGACAAATCTAAAAGATCTGAAAAACTGCATAGCGGAGTCCACCTTGTCTAAGCACTTATCAAATGCTCCCTTCACCATACTGCACAACGTCAATGTAGTAAAAAATTCTATGCTGGGTTTCGACTAAGTGTGAGGTTTCGATCCCGAACCACAGGCTGAAGACTCGCTGCATAAGGGCATCCCGCTTGCTGGAGTGGGCTGGAGAGTGCCAGCAGGGTTAGTGGGGCTTGGCACAAGAGAAAGGGCTTCCACCTGTATGCAAGCACTGAAGGTTTGTTTTGCCACTTCAGTCTACTGGAGTGGCTCGATGGTTACTGCACTGTGAGGTAGATGATGTAGAAGTTTTTACTGCTGGATGTAGCGTAGGTGTGTTGATCGCTGCCTTTCAAGCTATTCCCAGGCCTAAGCACATACAGCGGGATCCTGATGTAGTAGTGCCTTGGTGAGCAGGAGTTGTCTTAGAGCAGTTCATGCGAGGAATTACGCCTGTCAGAAAATTAAGAGCGCCTTTTAACAAAAATTAAGGATGTACCACCATTGTAAGGATTTCGTTAAAATGGTTGTTAATGTTATTTGCTTAATTCTTCGGCCAGGGCGACTTATTTTTTATAATATTATTATTATTATTATTATTATTATTATTATTATTATTATTATTATTATAGCATTTCTATGCCGCCCCTTGCCGAAACCTCGGGGCGGCTTACAACATGATAAAATACATTGAAATACAATAGTACATAATAAATTACCATTAAATATAAAAATACAAAGAATACATTGATTTACAAAAATAAAATTAAAATTATCAGTATAAAATAAAAATATAGGAGGAGAAAGAGAAGGAAGAAGAAGTTGCCCTGGCCAGATCATATGTTTTAACAATTGAAATGATGTTTAAATAAAAAGGTCTTTACCTGGCACCGAAAAACCAGTAACGACGGTGCCAGGCGGACCTCTTTGGGGAGTGAATTCCATAGGTTGGGCGCCACCGCAGAGAAAGTCCTCCTCCAGGTACTTACTCTCCTAATTTCTTTCATGGAGGGTTCCCGGAGAAGGAACTCTCCCGCAGATCTCAAAGGGCGGTTGGGCATATACGGACGTAAGCGCTCGTTCAGGTAGCCAGGACCCAAGCCGTTTAGGGCTTTGCAGGTCATAATCAACACCTTGAATTGGGCCCGGGCTTCAATGGGAAGCCAGAGAAGCTGATGGAGGACTGGAGTCATGTGAGCATAACGCCCCATCCCCATCAGCAACCTGGCAGCTCTATTTTGCACCAATTGAAGTGTTCGGACTGTCTTCAGGGGAAGCCCCACGTAAAGCGCATTACAGAAGTCTAGGCGGGAAGTCACCAGCGCGTGTGTCACCGTCGCCAGGCAGTCGTACTCCAGGTAGGGGCGCAGCTGATTAATCAGCCGAAGCTGAAGGAAGGCGTTCCTCGCTACCGCTGTCACCTGAGTTTCCAAAGAAAGCTCCAGGTCGAGGAGTACTCCTAAGCTGCGGACCTTATCCCTAAGAGGAAGTGTTGCACCATTCAGGACCAGGTCAAATCCACCCTCTCCGAAACCTGATCCGCCAACCAACAGGACCTCCGTCTTGTCTGGGTTGAGTTTCAGTTTATTGGCCCTCATCCATTCCCTTACCTCGGCCAAGCACCGGTTCAGCACAGCCACTGCCTCACCTGGATTAGTGGAGAACGAGAGGTAAAGCTGGGTATCATCAGCGTATTGATGATTCCGCAGCCCACACCTCCTGATGACCTCTCCCAGCGGTTTCATATAGATGTTAAATAGCAGAGGGGATAGAATGGAGCCCTGTGGTACCCCATGGCATAGCTGCCATGACGTAGAGACATGGTCCCCCAGCACTACCTTCTGGAATCGACCGTCGAGATAGGAGCAGAACCACTGCAAAGCAGTGCCTCCAACCCCCAGTCCCGCAAGTCTATCCAGAAGGATACCATGGTCGATGGTATCGAAAGCCGCCGAGAGGTCCAGAAGAACCAACAGGGATGTACTCCCCCTGTCCTTCTCCCTGCACAGGTCGTCGTACAGGGCGACCAAGGCAGATTCAGTACTGTACCCGGGTCTGAAGCCGGACTGAAAAGGATCCAGATAATCAGTTTCATCCAAGAGTGCTTGGAGTTGTCCCGCCACCACTCGCTCCAACACCTTGCCCAGAAACGGGATGTTGGCCACAGGTCTATAGTTAGTGGCCATCTCTGGATCCAGTGACGCTTTCTTCAGGACCGGTCGTATTACCGCCTCCTTTAAAGGGGCAGGCACTCGACCCTCCCTCAGAGAAGCGTTAACCACTTCCAAGATCCAGGTCCCAATCCCGTGCTTGGAGTTATTTATTAGCATAATGTTAATGTGTTTTATATTTTTAGTGTTTTATATTTTAACTGATGTTTTGTAAGCCGCCCCAAGGCTTTGGCGAATGGGGCGGCATAGAAATTTTTAAATAAATAAAATAAATAAATAATGGCCTTCTCCATGTGAGCAAGCCACTGCCTTGCTGAGCCCGGGGCGGACATGCTGAGGGAGAGCGGCTTACTCAGAGAAAGCCACGGGGCTCCTGCGCCTCCGTCGTGGCCTTCTCTGAGCAAGCGAGCAAACATTTTTAATTACTTTTAAAATGTGAATATCTAATTTAATTTTAATTTTTAAATTTATTTAAATTTATTTTTTAATGTGCAGTGTGCATAGGAATTTTTTTTTCCAAACTATAGTCCGGCCCCCCAATAGTCTGAGGGACAGTGAACTGGTCCCCTGTTGAAAAAGTTTGAGAACCCCTGCTCTATACTGTTAACAAAAGTTAAAATTAAACTCTTTAAAAGAACTAAAAACCAAAGAAAACCATAAAAGCAACTTCAGTTGCTAGGATACAGCATAAAAACATAGCAGCAGTACAGAACAAAATAGTTTTAACTTTTTAACCTTTTTATATTCTATTAAAATATTGTTTTAATAAGCAGATCGTTTGTGTCAACTCCTAGTTCAATTTTACAAAGTGTCTGTGGAAAATGGCCATGTGATCTAAGATGTGACCATCTGGATTTAAAATTATGGGAAAAGCTGCATGGTTTTCAGAAGGGTCCTGCGTGTGGATTGAATGATGAATGTTGGGAATGTAGAGCTCCTCAAAAGTTATGCAGCCCAAGTTCAGCATTTGTTGGGGAAGTGTAATGTGGCTGGTAATATTAATCTTAGGAAGGCTACTTAAAATGGTTACAGTTGGCTATGGATTCCTGCTTTGTTGGATGTGAATATTAGTAAGATAAGATCACATCAGTCTGGTGTTTTATGTAGACAAGATTTGGTGCTGGAATATAACTTGTTGGAGTTACTGCTGTATGGTGTATACACATGGGTCTCTAAATGTCTTTAACAGCTTATTTCATCCTTAGCTTTGGAATCCAGAAAGGATTTGTTTGTCTGATGGGATATTGATTATGACAGCGGAGCTGATGGTTATTTTAATGGTGCTCATGTGGTTTAGGGATGTAAGCCCTGACAATATATTGATTCTGTCAGGCTTGCAGGCTCTTCAGCTGGAGGAGTAACTTGTAAGAATGCACTAGTAAATGAAATCTGGTCTGTGAACACTGAATTTCATATCATGGGAATTTGTGCGTGTGGTGGATGCCAGCTCATGTTTCTTTAGTGGGTAATAATAAGCACTAACTGTTAGTTCTGTTACTTTCCAGATATAATTGCCTCCAGCTTACTCAAGGGTTGCAGGGTCCTGGTGTAGGAGGGAGGGCTTCCCCATGAGGAACTGCACTATTTTTTGTCACTTCTTGCAGGCCTAACAGACTCTTGCCTGCTGGAGTGGGCTCAAGAGCAGCTGGAGTTTTACAAGGGACCGGCAGGAAGGGAGGGGCTTCCACCTTTGGACCATCACTGACTCTTTTTTCCCCCTTCTACTTCCCACAGGAACAATATCCTCCAGCAGGCTGGGATATAATAAGGTGTGGCTGGAGAGTTGCTCAGAGCTGGCAGAATGGAACAGTATTGTGCATGTGGACCAGTGCTGAGTGTTGGTTTTATCACCTACTAATAATATGAGATTTGCTGCACTGGTCTAGGAAGAGGTTGGAAGGTGATTAGGATGATGTGGCAGTGGGAAACAGCTGTGACTAGGATTCCACTTGGGGAACAGCTCTGTTTCACTTCATTCAGATTTGACACCCCGATCTTGCTGGAGAGGGATGGAGAGTAGCTGCAGAATCCCTGCGTCCGGGACAAGGAATGAGGACTTCCTCCTGGTGTCCAACACTGCTGCATGATCAGACACTTTCTGTATATGTACAAGCCCTACTGTGTGTGAGTAAAACAGCTTCCACTGTTGTGGATTTGGCTGGGGAGTTAATGGAGGATTGTTGGGACCTCTCAGAAAACACTGGACTTACATCTCAAGACAAACAGTATTTTTTTGTTTGGCTACTTCCCACAGGTATAACATGGGAAAGTTGCTTACGTGCAATTTTG